TTGTGTGGTGGGTGAGTTGTTTTAACACTTGTATTATGATTGTCTGTCCCTAACCGAACCGAACCGAACCGAAAGAGCAAAAGACCCCGCAATAAAAGCAAGTGTAAATTTGCATATTAAGGAGCAAAGTCAACCCTGGGGTGTCGTATGCTGAGTTGTCACCTTCTATTTGTATAATTGGACGGTTAGGTTAACCTCTTTTCGGCTAACACTTCGATTAGGCGAAACAACCCCCCATCCAAAATCGATCCATCAGAAATCAAAACGCAAAATCTCATTAATTTGACAGGGGGGAGAAAAGGATTCAGATTTCGGAATGAGATTCAGATTCGCTTTTGGAAAACACCCCCCGCTCTCTGGGAAACGTAAATATTTCCACAAGGGGTACAAAAAAGATGCTGAAGATAAGGTCCTTCGGGGGAACTGATGCAACTGTCAAATTGTCAGGGATTTGGAATTTTGGAAAACCAGATATTCTGATTCGTATTCTGATTCCGATTTCGAGGGGTGTCTGCGGTTTTTGAGCGCGGGCTTTAGTATTTACAAACTGCAAGATACGGCTGATAAGATAAATAATTGGAATATGAAGCTGGTAACCCCCCCTCTCCTGTGAGCCCCTGGAATTAGACACACACACCCGAAAGTGTGACAGGGGCACGAGGGGGGTTTTTGTGTCTGCTCCCATTCTGTTTAATCACAGCAAATAATTAAATGTCCATTTCACAGGCAACGTCAATGTCGAGGTGCAACCCCAACCCCCTCCACACCCATGGATATACGGATATAAACAGTGGAGTGCCGAATCTGGATTCGGAATCTGAAACCGACCCCTCGACCTCGATGACGATGCGACACGTGTGCGACAAGCGGCATTTGTATTAAGACTTAATTTAAGTGCTTATCACCCAAAACAAATCAACGCACCCTCTCCATACTCCCGATATTTCCCCGCCCCTGGCTGCATTGTCATGTGACATTTTGTATGAGTAACGCTCACCTAATGAAGTTATTAGAGGCGCACACAAAGCCCCAATCCCACACTATATGCTATATGCTTTATACCTGACCAGACATCGACGATAACGCGTGGAGTGGGGTGAAATTGGGGAGTTACGGGCCGGATATACGTGGGCCAATGTAGGGGATCTTCAGTAGCTGTGGGTTTATGGGCACAGATATTGTAAGTCAAGTAGGAGATTTATTTATACTATATGTTCAAACATTATTCCCAAAATACTTAGAAAAAAATTCATAAAAAGAAAAAAAAATTTATTGGTATTTTAAGTATTTTTTTCTACATTTTTATTATAATAAGTCTGACTTGTATTACTTTTGTAGAGCCCTTCCATCAGTCCAAATGGCCGAATTTCGATAACTTCCTGTCTGGTCCCCAAAATACAAATAATTTCTCCACCGTTCCATGACAAATGCGACTTCAATAAATGTTTATGATTTGACAAATCAATCGGGCTACTAATGTCACAATTTCGGTGATTGCCCCGCATTTGGTTATTGTCACTGGTCTTTATATTCAAACCCGAAATCAGAAACCCCCCCTTCCTTTCCTTTTCCGGCGTCACTTATTAATTTCGTTATTTGCTCGCGCTGTCCATTTTATTTATTCATAAATTTTATCAGCACAAATTAAAAACAAATTAGTCGACAGTAGGTAAATAATAATAAAGTGTAATAAAAATCACTGGGACAGGAGACAGTCGACTGTCGACGGTCGACAGTCTGTCGATATGCGGCGATAAGCGAAACGGCGCAACCCGAAACGAACTTGATTTGTTTAATCGAATGTGAAATGATTAAAACTTAATATTCATTTAGTTTACTATATTTGCCTGCGTTTGCTTATTTTTTCATTTTTTTTTCATTTTTCCGCTTCATTTTTTTTCCCCGTGCTTATTGTAATGACATTTTTATTGTTTTTAATGCGCTTTTAATAATAATTGATTTGCGATTGCAACAATTTGATAAACCAAGTAAATGAAGCGAAGAGCCAAAACAAATTATGTCATTGCTGTTCGTGTTCGGGGTGAAAGAAAGGTGGCTTGTTTTAATGGCGACAAAAGCCATATTTAAACAGCGAATCCATTTTAAATGTAATTACCTAGAATATAATTAATTCTGTCATGTTTTTCCCCCGAAAATGATGACCTTGGTGGCTTTGTCTCCTCAGTATCTCTAATAGGATTTGAGTACAGTTTGATTTTATACTCAGAATAGAAATTCGATATTAAATGGGGTCATTTCTACCTTATTTCATATCAATAAAATGATCTTTTTCAATTTTTTTTCTGTATGTTCGATCTTTGTTTAAAAATTCCTTTAAGTTCTTTGCTCCTTTCCAGACCTTCAGTTTTATAATCAGTGTTACATAAACATATTAGTATTTACAATCCTTTTACACAACTCCAATTCCCAATACCATTTAATTAAGTTCGCAGTGCGAAGGAAATTTCAAGGTAGAGCTGACGGAAATGATGGCCCCACATAATAATCAAATCGCAACAAAGTGTCACAACAAATTTACTTTCCAACAACTACTGACTCGGGGAAGATACGGGGAGCAGGGGCGTACCAAAAAGGGGGCTCGAGGGGGTCTGAGTGCCCCTATTAGCAGCGAAAAGTTGTTCGGGGAATAGAGCTGGTAAGACTTAATAGAAAATCAAGCGCAAGAAAATGGCGTCCGATAAGGCGCTGAAGAAAATGCGGAAAAGCGGGGGGAAAATGGGAAAAGCAAGAGGAGAGGAAAGTCAGCCAACCAACGCCCCGCAGCAAATTAAATGAAAATTTGTTTGTGTGTGGAAAAATCAAGTGAAAATTAATTGAATTGAGTTGAGTGCGGCTACGCCGAAATGGTTTGGTGGATGCTACGGGGTTTGGTTGGCTTTATTATATAGATCTCCATGTGGCGATAGCCCCCCAAAAAAAGAAGAAGCTGCAAATGGAATTTTCTTTTCCCTTTTCTTTTTTTGCCAATCAGAAAGCAATGATGAAGGAGAGTCCAGAAAACGGAGGGGGGGGTGTTTGGGTGGAAAAGCAGGGGGATTTGGGTGGTCACTCGTCCTCTTTATCTCTCTCTCTTTCCCTCTAACCAGCCGTTCTCCGTCCCATTCTCGCAGCCATAATTCATTTTCCAAAGACGGCAGCTGCGCATTGAGACTGCCTCGGAAAAGTGGGTGTATTTAAAGGGGGTTCCCGGTTTTCCCCATTTCCCCCCCGCATATTTAAGACATTATTACATTATAATCGCATAAAACAATCAATAAAATGTCAGTTTTTGCTCTGCTCTCGTAGGGGCAGCGCTGCCTTGGTCCTCTCTTTCTTCTACCGAAACCCATAACCCCCCTTTTCCCTCTCCCCCCCCTTTCATCATCTTCTTTCTTTCTTTTCCATCTCCTTCGCTAGCCGTCTTCTTCTTACTGGGGCCTTAAATTGGCCATAATCATATTCATATGAAATTTCCCCCTATTTTTTCGCTGGCCACGCCCATCTCTGTCATATAGCTATCTCTTTCTCTCTAGTGAGTTTCTCAGCTGTCTGGTCTCTTTGTCAATTGCCCTCTCTTTCTCTCTCTTTTAGTGCTATATGAGCACTCACACACACACACACTGATTCACTTTAAATCAATTTTTTTGGCGTTTTTCATTTCATTTTCCCTGTTGCGCATTGCTCGCTCTCTCGTTCGCTCACTCTACTGGTGTCCCTCTCTTTAGTCTCTCTCTCTTTCGCACGATTTAGTGAGGCAGAAAAATACCATTATTGCATTGGCCATTTGTGGGCCAGCGAGGGGTTAAGAAGTGCGGCTGCGGGGGGTTAAGTGTGGGTGTTTCTTTTTTGGTTTCTTCTTTTCTTTTCTCTTTTTTTTTTGGGTGGTGGGTGGTGGGTTTTTGCGGACGGCGCCTTGGCATGTTTGTTAAGTGAAACCATTTTTCTTTTTATTGCCACGACTGCGCTGCCGACGTCGACGTTGCTTCTGCTGCTGCTGCCTCCTCTTCTTCTTTTTCTTCTGGCTTTTCGCCTTTTTCGTTTTGTTATTTCTCGCTTTGGCGCACATAAATTTGAACGTTAATGATTTTTGCTTGCAGTCGCGCATGCGACCCAAAAACAACAACAACAACAACAGCTGACCGTCAAGTGTTGAAAATGAGTTTATTGTTGTTGTTGTTGCTGCTGCAGCAGGTGTCGCCATCTCACTTTTTAGCACAGACTCAAACCACGAACAGCCAACCAACAGTGGTGACACTTTTTTCCCCTTTTTCCTTTTGAAACCCCCTTTCCCCCTTACATATACATTTTTATTAAACAAACACGAAGAAGACAAAACGAACTCCATATTTTTCATTTAAACGCGCCTCTCGCGCCATCCCGCTCGCACCGACTTGCGTCTCCGCTCTTGTCTCCATTATAATTCTCCACAAACTCCACAACTCGCTCGGCGTAATTTTAATTCGAATCAATTTGTTTGTCGCCGCCGCTGCACAGAGTTCAGCATTTTGCCCAGTGGGCCGCCGATCCGCTCCACTGTGCATCATCCCACTGTGCGGCCAGGATACTGGTTTTTTTTCGAGTGTTCGTCTGTGTGTGTGTGTGTGTGTGGGGCTCGTGTATTGAGTTCCTGCGTTAAACGCAGTTAACAGAAAGATCCTGCAGGTTAAGCGGAAGTTAACGCTGAATATCAATGAGTGAACATTAAAGTTAAGCTAACCTTCAGTTAAAAAAAGGGAATTTTAAGTTTTCACGGTTTGAGAAAAAGGAAATGTCCTTATATTGGGAAACAAAAAAAGTTGCGGAAAAATATCAACTCAAGTGTTATTATTATAAGCTTTAAAAAGGGAAGCCAAAATAAAAACTGACTGAGAGTCCAGTGAAATAAAACTCAAGGAAATTAACTAGAACTTTAATTTGTCAAAGTCAAATAAGAACATTGACAATAAATAACCGAAAGAGTAACTTACTAAGACTAAAACAACCGAAAGTTAACCCCGAAAATGGATCAGCTGATTAAACAGCTGCAGCTAGCAGCCGCTGCTCAGGCGCAGGTGCAAACTTCGCCTTCGCATTCGCATCCGCGGCAACATCCGCATACGGCATCCGCCTTGCAGCTTTATGCTGCAGCAGCCGCCGTCAACCTGCGAGTTCCCGGATGGTCGCCATTCCTCAGCCAGCTTCCCATCGATTCCCCAAATCTGGGGGACTCCCAGGGATCTGGTCACCAGGCCACCAGTTCGTCCTCCGTCTACATGCTCCGCCAGATGGCGCTAATGCAGCGAGCCAATGCAGCCGCTGCAGCAGCCGCGATTCAGCAGCAAAGGGACCGGAATTGGAATCGGGAAATGAGTAATAAGGATCAGGATCAGCAAACTATTAAATCGGAATCACTACCGTATCCCAAAAATGTTAGCTCTGGCCGACATCCGCACGACATCCGCGAGGGTAAGTGAATTTAGAAAATTAAAAATCTCTCATTCTAAATTATATATATTTTCTAGTGTTTACCAATTTAATTTTACATATTTAATAAGCCAAATACGATAGTTATAAACCTTGAAAAAAAATAGATTATCGATGGTAAAACCCCTGAGAAATCGCACTCTATTGCATGGGTTTTCACTCTCTAAACTAAGTATTTCGCATTTGGCCAAAATACACAAAATTGCTGGCCAAATTTAATTACGTGCATAATCAACAAGCAGCAACAACAATTACAAGCGGCCAAAAATACACACAGATACGCTTTATAAATACACAGACACATTAAAAGCTGGCCTGCGGGCAAATAATGCTGTTGATTTTGTTGTTGCTGCCGCCTGTTGTTGATTAAAAATTGATCAAAAAACATAAAAACATGCGAATTATGCATGTGCGTATATGCATATGCATATGTAAATGCACGTGTGTGTGTGTGTGGGCGGCAGCGAATTGATTAAAAGGAGCAATTCGATTGAAATTTTATTGGTAAATTGAATAAAGTGCGCGGCGGCGGCGAGTCCCGGCCGGGAAAACTTGTTTTTCCACTCCGGCCATTTGGAAAATTGCATTATCTGCGCAAGCTCGTCGCAAAGTTAATGAATGTAATGAATGAACAAATGAGTGCCGGGCTATGGAATCTAGAATGTGGGTGGCTTGGCCCATAAATAACACAATTTCCGGAGTGTCCTTGCCGGGAATTAGCCTTAAACTATGCATGATTAGTTGCGGTCATTGGAAAATTGGGACGAATGGTATTACTAGTAGAAAGGATTATTCAGAAATTTCATTCCAATTTTTCCTGAAAAGATTTTTTAAAAACTCAAAGAGGTATTTAAATTAGGGAAAAACAAAAATAAACATAGATTTCCTTTTTCAAATTCTAAAAAAAAAAAATTGTAAAATAACCAAGTCCTAAATATTTTGCAATGATTTTTTTAAAACTCAAAGAGGTATTTAAGTTAGCGGAATATACAAATAAACATCGATTTTCTTTTTAAAATTCTAAAATAAAAAAAAATAAAAAAAAAATTTTATTTATTTAATAAATATTTTTATGTCAAATTTAAGTTCAGTCAAAATGTGAAAATTTATAAGATCACTTAATAAAATTAAGATGATTTTTGGAGGGAAATATTTAAAAACAAAAATACCCCCTTCCCATTTTAAAACCTTGAAGGTCAATGAAAAACTGCAACAATTTGTGAATGGGTCGTGAAAAAGTGCGAAGCAGCTGGCATCGGAAAATGGGAAATGGTGCATGGGAAATGGGCAGTGACAGGTGAAGTCTTCCTATCCTATCCGTTTTTTATTTCTTTTTTTTTTGTATTTTGCCCAGTGCACGCCCAATCCGGGAAACGCCTTTTGTCTTTTGGCAATTGAACTACTTTTGAGGCGCATCCAATTCCGAATGGGAAACTCTTCGATGGGCCTCATCTTCGTTCTCCTACCTCATCCTCCTACTTTTGCCGACGACGGGAAATTAGCTGCCATTAGTCATTTTTATTGTTTTCGGTCGCGGCCCCGAAACCAGAAAATAAAACGAGAGCTAGCACAAGTCGGGAAAAGCGAACACAGGGAAAACTGTAAAGAGAACGGCGCGATATCGAGGGAAAGTCGAGGGGAAGACCTGTGGAAATTGGGCAGCCAAACAATTTGTGGCAGCAATTTTTCTTAACATTTTCGTGAACCCAAAACGAAGACCAAACGAAAAACGGGGGGGAAAAAAAAAGGTCGAACGAGAAGCGAAATGTCTTAATTATTTTTGGTAGCTCAGTCCAAACCGCGTGCCTAAACATACAATTTTCGTTTACGACATTTTAATTAAGTTTTTCCCCATTTTCCTCTGCTTGTGGAAATTGGGCAAATTAATAAGAACGCCATTGGCACGCCCCGTCAGGTTTCCCTTATTCGGTTTCCTTTTTTTTCCTTTGTTTTCAGGTTGTTTTCTTTTTTTTTTTGGGCCCCCTGCCTACCAGCGATCATCAGTCTATCGGTGATGAATGAATTGAGTTGTTGTGGCTCCCAAGTACCAGAGTACCAGGTGATCCCAGGTGATCTCAGGTGATCCGCTCCAGTCGATGGCCACTCATTAGACATCGCTGACCGCGAGCGCTTCTGGTAATTGCCATCATTTCGAGGGACTTTGAGGGAACGGGGGTTTGGGTAGAACTACTGGGAGAACTGAACTGAACCGAACTGCCTAGACCCATAGATTAATTGTGATTGTGTCGAGTGGAAAATGAAGATGGAAACAGGTACGGGGCTGCACGGTGAGAAAGAAAAGAAAAAATATCATAGAAATATTTTCCATGGTATGGTACAACATTAAATTGAGATATCTTGGGGAACGCATAAATGATAAATATATAAATATAAATATTTAAATCAGTAGCGGATGTAGGATAATATCAGAACAATTTTGTTGTTGCATACTTTTTGAATACCACAATTCCTTTCATTTTTAATCCGAGCGGGGGGATCTATCACTCATATCACTCTCCGTAGATTTAAATATCCCAACTTTGTTATTACCAAATAACTTGAAAATTAACAAAGGGACTATTCTCAAGTATGCCAAGTTTTTTTTTCCAGTGCAGTTGATAGGCTCTTCATGGACGAATTTATGAGTGCTGATCTGAAGATTTCTCTCGCCCAAAAGTGAAAGATTGAGTGAGTGGAGTGGAGAGTGTGGAGTGGAAAGGGTCCAAAAACAAGACTGGAAGCCCGAAGAGCCGAAAAACGAACAGCGCTGCCCATCAACATCAGCGACTAATGGGACTCTTGTTCGTCTCGAAAAAGGGGGAAATTGGTAGGGATAGGTATGGGTTTGGGTGGGGGAGCGGTATATATAGGTCCAATTTCCACAGAGATTTTCCTTGGCTAATTAATAAAACGCTCAGTGGGCTCGTTGCACTAATTGGTCCGATCGTCGGGGCCCCTGATGAGCTTTTGACGAGCGCCCCGATTTTTGGCCCGGGAAATGATAATTATTTAAGTGGGCTCCCATTTAGGCGATTGCCAAAAACGAACCGAAAAACATGAAGAAAATAAAGAACACAAAGCCAGTTTATTTCGCCTCCTTTATTTCGCTCTAAATACTCACAACCCACCCACGACGTCCTTGCATTTGCATTAGCATTTGCATAATTTATGAGGGCGACAACCCTGGCCGGTGGCCATAAATTCAACTGAATGGCAGTCGGCCAAAATAGAAGGCAACATCTTTTTTCTAGGCCGACTGCGAATGCATTTTGGCAGCTCCAGTCCACTTAATTTTCCCCGACTCCATCTATTTTCCCCTTTTTTAATTTTTTCGTAACTCTCTTTTTTTTTGGGTCCACCCCCTTTGGTGGACTAATAAAAATCAAAAGGCGTTTTGTTCTCTAAACTTAAATTGAAAACACTTTAGGCCAGTCCTGCCCCAAAAAAACCGTTCCCCTGCCCAAAAACCAAAGGATAAACACTTCAAGGGGCGGATTTGGCTTAGTGCCCCCCCTTCCTTTTTATTTTGGCCCACTCCACCTCTGCTTTTCGTCGTGTTTCTACCGTTGTTGAATTACCGTTTAGCACAAAGATGGCGGCGCTAGATAAAAACATTTTTGGCAACAAAAAAAAAAAAAAAAGAAAAGCTTGTAGGAAAAGCAAAAAAAATAAATAAAGGGCTATATCGTGGGTTTTCATTGTTGTTGTGGTTTTTGTTTCGGGCACTTGACTTGTTTCACATTTTGTTCTTTTTCTTCTTTTTTTTCTTTTTTTTTGTGTTCTTTGGCCATTTACAGTTTTGAGGTGTAATTTTTCTTAAATACCATTACAAGTGCCACGCCTCCGCCCGCCCTCAAATCGCAGAGCTCGTTTGCGATTAGCAAATTAGGGTTAGACCCACTAAAATGGTGAATTTATTGGCTGTATCGCAGGGGTTTCGCTTCGCTTATTATTTAATAACTGCTTGGGGAAAATCTGCGGGGCAATGGGAAATTATATACCAAATGGTCAGTCAATCAATCAGTCCCACTAATTTTTCCCCATTCATTTCGCCACTTTGTTAGCAATCTGTGTCGACAAGTGTCAAGAAATCGAGGCAATTACACGACCCAAAGCCAAAAACGGAGACGGGGAAAATATCAAAGAGCGAGGAAACGCTAAGCGGAAAAGCCGCAAGCACGTAGAATCGAGCGTTTTACCGCTAAAGCTAAGCTCACCACCCTCGAAAAATCAGAAATCCCAGAAACACCCACACACGTCCTGATTTTTATGCCATCTCCATGGACTTGAGCTCCCCTCTCTCGACGACATGAAAATTATGTAAAACTTAAGTAAAAGATGAGCTCGTCAAGAGTTATGACACCCCAGGGAGACCAAGGATGTGGATGTGGATGTGTAGCAACCCCTAGAATCAAGTGGACGAGGGTGACTTCAGTTTAGGTCGAAGTGTGTATGTACTATCTATATGGTTTTTTGGAACCCTTTGATGGAATGCTTTTGTAAAAGGGTATAAAACAAACAAGGCTGACATTTAGTCTACCGACAATTAAATAATTTAAAAGATATAAAAAAACAAACCCATTTAATTGTAGGGTATATAATAAAATCAAAATAACCACACAAGACTAAAAACTGTTGACCAAACAACAAAATCTAGCAGCATTTAAGTGGCAAAAACCACCCATACACAAGCCCCAACCCTCGGAAAGGAAAACCCCACTCGGAAAACCCTCGACGCTTGTTGGATTCTCTCGTAAATGCCGCATGTGCGTTTATATTGAAACAGATTGCTCTGCCATTTCATTCCATTCCCGTTCATTCCATTCCATTCTATTCCCCGATGTCAGGTGTCAGTGGCGTAGTCACTTGAGAGGGGTTTTTTATAACAAATTTTTATGTTATGTATTTCTTAAGCTAAATATTTCCTATATAGTTTTACCTGCAAGGGGGCTACGGATCACCGAAACCCCCCTTAGTACGCC